CTTAAAGGGTTAGTTCACCCAAAAATGAAAATTCTGAAAAATAAAAATGAAAAATAACGACTTTATTCCACATTTTCGTCTCTACTGCGTCACTTGTGGACACGCGTTCACGACAGTATCATGACGCGAGCGTGTGGTGGCGCCGGCGCTGACCCAGATCCTGCGTGATGACGTCATTACACCGGATCTGGGTCAGCGCCGCCACACGGAGAATATTTTGTTTTCTTTGCGCAAAAAAGTATTCTCGTAGCTTCGTAACTTTACAGTTGAACCACTGATGTCACACGGACTACTTTGTCAATCACCGTGGTACTTTTCTGGACCTTGAACATGGCAGTTACCTTGCTGTCTATGGGAGGGTCAGAGAGCCCTCAGATTTCATCAAAAATATCTTTAATTGTGTTCCGAAGATGAACGAAGGTCTTACGGGGTTGGAACAACACGAGGGTGAGAAATTAATGACAGAATTTTTGGGTGAACTAACCCTTTAAATATGAAGGTTTTGTACAATTTGTGTTTTATTAATTTGTAGTCCTAGTTTTCTGTGTTATAGACTTGGCCATTTAGAATCAATTAAGTATTGTTTGATTTGTATTATACATGCGTAAATTCATTACATTCATCAAAAATGAATTTACATTATAAAATTGACCCAAAATCAGTTAAAAACCACTAGACACTTGTTCATGGGTTCACCAGATCAATTCCGTCGAGCGTCAAAGCCTCGTTTGCTGAAATCATGTGACTTGAAGAGTTTCATACAAGCCCAGAACCGCTGATTCAAAACACAAGATTCGTAAATGTTTTCTCGAAAGAGCTTATCATTAATTTACTAACATATTTGTGAGTGAAACACGATATTCGGTGAGAAAACATATAGAGCAGAACTTATTTTATCCATCAGAAATCCACTGGATTTTGAAAAGTGGATGTTACATACCAGTATGTCGGAGAAAAAAAGAAACAGACACAAGACCAGAGAGAGAAAAAGGCCAGTATATGCTGCTCAACACCTTCGGTTAAAAGGTTGTGTTTACAGCAGAACCAGAATGCTAAAATAAAATCACACCACATAAACACTCTCACCAAAGAATCAAAAACTGAGAACAACAAAAAACAAACACGAGTGGCACTAGTACATGCTAAACATGCTACCATGAAGCTAGAGTTTTTAGCATGTTCTTATGCGGTTGCTAGGGCACTGCAAAGGTGTTGATTACTAGCCCATGTCAAAAGAGCTTTCTCGTATTTTGCTCCCTAGATAAGACTCAGGTCTATCCTTTTTTCAGTAATAACACTGATGCT